AAAGCAGGTGACTGTGGTCAGGTATAGTGAAAGTAGACACGCCGCGATCTACTCCACTCTAACCCTAACCGCCTTGACCGGTGACAAGACCGAAGTCGAGGTTACCGAAGCAGGCTTCGGTTGGAAGCCACTTTCTCCAATGCAGCCTGAAACACCGCCTACACTTAGCTTTTAGTGACAGTAGACTTTGCGCGAGTGCTACTGCATTGTCTACCCTCAATCACCTATAGTGGTTGTCTAGCCAGACTTAAGTAAGCCAGGATTGGTACTGCTACTACCAATACTGCTACTTCTAATACTACTTACTAGGGTTTAGCTTAGTGATAGTATTTGCTGGTACTACTACTGACTGTTCTGTAAGTCAGAGGTGACGCTGATTAAGCCAACGCCAAGGTTCATATCCCCTTGGTCTCAACAAGGTGTGTAAATCTGGCTTTACTATTCCGGGTAAATACATGCTTGGGGTCCTGAGCACAGCAGCGTTTACCTTGGTCTTCGCACTCTCAACTCTATCCATCGAGCTGTATGGACTAATATACCGCTGCTATAGGTATGTGCCTATGCTAAAAGAGCTAATTTCTAGTAATCATGCTTACTAAGGCCAGCAGATAGTATACTATAAGTACTGCCTGTGTGTGCTTTTTAAGGAGTCAAACCCAGTATACACTCTCAATAGGCTTCCTTGTGCGGTGGTAACAGTACCTCGTACGACCGCCTAATGATAATAGGTGTTGCTCTAGTGGTTTTTTGTCTATAGGCTTCCTCTGCTAACTAATAGGAGTTGCTCTTGTAGTTTGATCGGTCTTTTGTTTTTTCCACAACCTTTTGACTTACGTTCTTAATTGACTAAAAGCAATTTCAAGTGGCTTTAACTTATTTCCTACTGCGCACTTATCACACATTAACTGCAAATTAATCAAACATTAAAAACTTTAACAACGATTTCCGTTAGAAACTTAGGCAGGGGAGTTTTGCCATTGGGCGGCCATATGAGGAATTCTTCCGCAAAGCCTGCGATGGTATCCCATAGCAACCATCGTTGCATAAAATGCGCGCACTGGGTGACAGAGGAAGGATTTCTGAACCGGAGGAGGACGTTCTTAGTGAATAATCCTTTTTGAAAACGTGAAAGGCTAAACAGTTGTCCGTGCCTTTACTTTAAGCACTAAAAAGGGGGTGAATTCGCGAGCGTTATCGGAAGCGATAGAGGTAATAACGATCGCGAAAGGGAAAACTTAGCCAGTATTTAGAGTTTACCTAAATGCAACCAATCAAAGACGGGGAGAGTGCTGTGTGCAGTGAAAGTGGGTTGCTAGGCAACCGTTTGCCTGTCGGTTGGGTGGTCTCGTTGAGTACGTACTTCATTTGAGCATTTTGAATTTTAGAGGTGATTATCTCTAGTACTTCTTTTTCAGCCTGCTGCACTGAAGTGCATCTTAACTTACCAGTGACTTGGAAAAGAGATGTAAATTTCCAAACTGGCTAAGATTTGTGATTTGGAAAATAGAAGGTACAATTTTCTTTTGATACATGCAAATAACGCGTACCTCCAAAGATTTCTACCAAAGAAAGTTACATTTCCTCCTCTGCCCTCATAAGTCCCCAACAAGAAATTGTCTTACTAGGTATGTGAACGGTCATTTTTCGATGCTTTTAATGAACTAAAATCATCAACTATACTGGCCAAAACAGGAGAAGACCTGAATTATGTAAAAAAGCCAAATCTCAGCAGCGGTAAACTGGAAGTTTTCTAAAGTTCAGTGGGACATTTGGTAATTTAACATCCCTGCTCCTGGCCAGTCATCATACCAGTGATAACTTTACAGCGCCTGAAACTGTCAAGAGACACGTGGCTCGGAAGATCGCCACTGATCTCGGTCCTCCCCTCCAGACGGGAAATCAGACTAACGTATCTCCCTCTTACTATGATCTTTGTACTTTCAGTAGAAGCCCCAGACTCTCTATCTGCAGACTGGCTCGTGTGAGGGTAGGAACTTATCCTGCCCTCACGGCCACCACCCAAAATCGCGTCACGCATCGGCCTGGTCGGTCACTTGCGATTCCATCGCACAGAGACTGGCAAACCAGTGTCAGGAACACTCACATACATCCACTGCAACTATCGGCACTGTCAATGCACATTCTCCCGCTCCATGGGCCTATCAGACTACGTGCGCTTCCAGTAAAACCTGCGATAGAATGCCGCCGGCTGTACAACACCTCGTTCTCTTCCTCAACAGCATCTACATCACACATAGGACCACGCCCAACATTATACACGCGAAGGAAAACTCTGACGTAAGCGTGAGGTGTGATCCTCGGTTCCTTCTCTATATACTTTCCCTGCTGTATGTGTGATCCAAGTCTGAGACAACGAAGGTGCGCTAGGCACCGTGGCTTGTAAGGTTGCTCATTGACGATTGCGC